AATAAATCTCCCAAATTAATGGTAAAAATTACAAGAAAATTAAATCTTATTTTAAATGAGAAAGTAATAAAAATTAAGAAAACTGACCAGAACAGATTAGATCTTCCATTTTTAAATGAGAATATAATAATTAATTGTGAAACAACTAGAATATGGTTAACTAAGACTGACCATGAAAGGAGCAAAGAGACCACTCATATCTTTCCTAAAATATGAGGATTAATTATTTAAGGAATTAGATTTGATTTTTTCTTCCTTTAAGATATCACATGGTTTAGGAAGAAATTTTCTTCTTAGTTGATTCTTCTTTTAAAGAAATTATTTTTCCTTTTTTTGCTTACATCATCCCCTTCCTCTTTAAAAATAATTTGTCCTCGAATCAGACACTTCTTATGTCAGAGTTTCACCAATTCTATTTTTTTTTTTTTGAGAAAATGTCATTGGCTAAAATGTTATATAAGGCATTGCGAAAATCTGCAAGGAATGGTTATTAAAACAATAACACTCTTTTACTAATTTCACTCGTGTTTTACTCAACCTCCTTCATTCAAGTTGAATGTGAGAATTGAATTTTCTTGAATCAAGTTTTGTTTATGACACTTTAAGTAAATCATACGGAAAAAAAGTGGTAAAATAATTTTAAAAGTAACAGTTCAAACACACAGATGAAGATAGTGTGTGTTTTATGTATAATGTTAAGTAATTAAGGTGCAATTAATTACTTAGAGATATAATGGAACAAGAACATAATAAAAGGAAAAAAAAAATTAGAGTGCAAGAAAAACAATACAAATATTATATTTTTTGTTTTTTTATGTGTAAGAAATGATGCAAAATATTTTTTTTAAAATATGAAGAACAAAAAAAAATTATAAAGATAAAAGTGCAAGATAGTAAGATTTATCTTGAGTCTAAACTCTGATACTAAATGATGTAGAATCCAGAATCAATTAGCGTGATAAAAAATCCTCCATATAACATTAGTTTTCAAAATCATAAAATCCTCAACAAACTATCTCTAATTGATTGACATTCAACATATAAATATCAATCAAGGTAATTAAGATAGTTTGAATTGATTAAGAATGGCTCAAACACGAACTTGATAAGTTAAAAATCAATTCAAAAGAAAATTGATAAAACGCTACAAGAACTTATCTTGATAAGTTAAATCAATTCCCACTTAACAACAAGGTTGACGAAATCCAACTAATTGAAAACGAAAATTTCATAGTTTTATTATTCTCAAAGTTGATTGATTACAATTGTGAGTTGAAAACCTATTTATAAAATAGGCCATGTGCATTACAAAGAAATAAATTTCCCAAATTAATGATAGAAAATACAAGAAAACTAAATCTTATCTTGAATGAAAAAATAATGAGAATTAAGAAAACTTTGATTAGAATAGATTAAGTAGGATCTTTCATTTTTAAATGAAAATATAATAATTAATTGTAGAGAAATTAGGAGAAGTAAAGAGGCCACTCATATCTTTTCTAAACCATGAAGAAGTCTTCCCTCTTACCTGATTCTCCCTTTAAAGATATTATTTTCCATTTCATTGCTTACATTATCCCCTCCCTCCTAAAAAATGATTCATCCTCGAATCGGACGCTTCTTATGTTAGGGTTTCACCAATTCTGCTTTATTTGAGAAAATGTTATTAGCTGAAATATTGTATAAGGTTATTGTAAAAACTTGTAAAGAATGGTTAGTTAAAAAATAACATTCTCTCACGTATTTCACTTGTGTTTTACTCAACCTCATTCCTTCAAGTTGAATGTGAGAATTGAATTTTCTTGAATCAAGTTTTGTTTATGACACTTTAAGTAAATCGTACGGAAAGAAAGTGGTAAAATACTTTTAAAAGTAACAGTTCAAATACACAGATGAAGATAGTGTATGTTTTATATATGATGTTAAGTAACTAGGGTGTAATTAGTTAGTTAAAGACATAATGGAACAAAAGTACAATGAAAAGAAAAAAAACTTAGAGTACAAGAAAAACAATACGAATATTATATATTTTTATTTTTTTATGCGTAAGAAATGATACAAGGTATTTTTTTTTTTCAAATATGAAGAATAAAAAAATATATAAGGATAAAATATGCGAGATGGTAAGATTTATCTCGAGTCTAAACTCTGATACTAAATGATGCAGAATTCAGAATCAACTAGTGTGATAAAAAATTTCGCATATAACATTAGTATTCAAAATCATAAAATGCTCAACAAACTATCCCTAATTAATTGACATTCAACATATGAGTGTCAACTAAGGTAATTGGGATAGTTTAAAAGATATCATTCT